ATCAACCGTTCGCATCCTTTTACAGCCTGATTACATCGGTGCGATCTTTTTCGTGTAGTGAATGAGACATGCGGTGATAAGAATGAGTTACAGTTATGCATGATCCCACAAGCGATCATAACTGCGCACCGGGTGCTCCATGGGGTAGTAGGTGGGGGTGGGTAAAGTATTCTACCCACAGTCGCCCTTATGTTGATCGTCGACTTGCTTATACATGAGGAAGAGTTATGTATACTGACGAATTCATGAATAATCCGGGAAATACGCTACAAAGTGGTATCCGCAGTGCTACTGAGTGTTGGATAAGAAAGCAGGTTTGCTAACACCATGGATGCCACTTTAAAATATAGCTCCCGGATAGGTGCTACCACGAAAGGTTGTTTAAATAAGTTAGCATTCATAACAGTGGAATGTAGTGACATTTGGTCTTCTTTGAACTGAGCTGGACGATTGAAAATGCAAGTCTTGTGACAATATTACTCAACTCTTCCGTTGTCCTTGGCGAATTTCTTAACAGATCTATTCCACTCTGAACCATTTTGGTTTGTAGAAAATTGCGCATTTTTATCAAATTTATTTTAGCGGATTGAGACGGTTGATTTGTTGGTAAGATTCCCGAAAAATTAAACTTGATGCGTTCAGCCAGACCAAATATGTTCGGTCATCGTTCCTTTAGTCCAGAGAGACGTAGACAATCGTTTTTGATTCAAAGGAGTCGGTGTTATTTGAGGGACCTCGGCCTCAATGCGTTTTACTCACCAGGTTAGTGAGAACCTAGACTGAACCCATTCATGCAAGGAATCATATCTACATTCACGCCCGAGCATGGTGACCGATTTATCGGTCCATCTAGACGTGATTCGCTTCCTTACCCAACGAAACGAGGTCAATTATGGCGGGGTTCGTTTAATCGCGTCCATGACGCACACTCGATCAACGATCACGGGGGTTGGGGGAGTTTGTCTATCCCGCCCCACCGAAGCATTCATCCTCGCTCGGTAACTCACTCAAATAATGTACTTTTGTTTGTTTTCCGAGCATTGGGTTCATTCGGACTCGATGGATTTTAAAGAGACCCGGTCCAATCGGCGACATTAGCGGGCTGAAACCCAGTCATCTTGGGGATTCCCATTGGAATGCGATTGGTTGGATTCACTTGAACTTACACCGAATTCACTTTGTTGATCGATTCGGAACATCGGTAACGATGAGCTCCACACACAAAGTTATCTGTCATCTTATCTACCGCACGATATCTTTTGATGACAGATCATGGTCCGTGCCCGGTGAGCTGATTTAGGGTCAGTTACGCTAACACCCTTAGTCGCTTACACTTAGAAAATGGAAACCCGTCCTGTGTGCAAAATACATGTCAGTCACGCTATCACTGCCTCGATAATGGTAAGTGTGGTCATTCTGTTCTGTCGTTTGTCATGTGTAACTGATGCACTGTCCAACCATATAAACTATTGTTTTCTGCCGTATTGTTGTACTAGTTGTGATGTATGGTTTGTAAAAAGCACACAAGACCATTACGGCCGATTAAAAAAGATTCGCCATATCATGCTCAGGTAATACGGTTGACTAAAATATTAAAACCAGTTCGATTTGAGATGGCAAAGCACAATGTCGAAGATACGATTAATTTTGTGAACAAAATTCGTGATATTAGCGTAGTCGATCTAATAATACTCTCGATGGACGTTAGCTTGTTTTCCAAGGAAGCAATTTGTGCAGTTATGCGTAAATTCATAGCGTAGAGTTAGACATTCTATCTACATCACCGAAAGCAGCTGACTTGTTTCTGCTCGTATGATATCTATTTGAAGTTCAACGATGAGCATCATCGACAAAAGGATGGCGTGTCTATGGGGTATCCGCTGGGACCGCTTTTCGCAGACACATCCATAGCGAAAACATTTGGTTACAAACAACCGTGAAAAACTATCTACTCTGCACAAGGTTCGTGAATGATGCTTGCCGTGCGCTCAACGCAAATTAACTGTTAGGCTGATTCATCGCAACCCATCAAAACATATCGTTTACGTTGTTAATGGAGAACAAACACAGATCACCGTTTCTGCATCACTTCTTGATCAGATGGTTCAGCGCGCAGAAGGGTAACTTGCGAAAACCAGCGCATCGATTTCCAAAGCTTAAGTTAAGAAGGAACCTTGTTCGTTGGACAAAGGGCTGAACAAAAAAGATCCGCAGTGAAGGCACAGAAAAAGACGATCTGTGAGAGTTTGAGAGTTCCTGAGAATTTGTTTGCATGGGTTTCAAATTTATTTCCAAAACCTCTAGACAGTGAATGGGGCGAAGTGGTCTGAGATATTTGTGTGGCTTTAATTTGTGTTGGGTATAACTATATTTGAACAAAGGAAATTTTGCAGAAAATCGACGGATAGAAGCAGCGCAAAATAAATTGGGTGGTAGCAATCTGAATGGTGAACAACGTTTAACGCAGTCGTATTCAAAGGTCCCGCTCACTGAAAGGAAGGTTGCTTGATGAGTGAGGTCACACACAAATGTGAAACATTTATCTCATTGACTTTCTACTTGAGTCCTATAGAATTTCACTGGTAGGATGCGGTTTATAATGTCACTGAGTCCGATAGAAATTGAACGATAGTGGATAGAAATCTTATTGCGTTGGTCTCTTTGTCCTTAACGCTTCCCTAGTACTCCTGAATAAAATTAGGTTGCTGATGCGTATGTTACAATTACTCAAGTAATTCTCCATATAATGGTTCCACATGATTTGTAAAGGACAATGAGTATTAAACAGCTTGACAACCATTTCCTGTGAGCTTCATCAGTGCTATATCAGAACTGGAGATGTAAATGAATCACGGTAAAACAAATGCCAGGAAGAAATGGCAAAACATTTAAAAGAAAGCTGGCAACGACAGAATAGACCCCAAAATTAAATACTTTCGTTATCATAAAGAGCAAAACTAAGTACTTATTTACTTGTGTTGGGTGGCAGAAGTGACCGAATGGAGGTGTTCTAAAAAATAATGAGAACTGTTTCACCCCTTCCCCGCACACACACTCGATAAAGGGGGACTGAAAAATCACAGGTTTGAATACACTGACACTGTCATTCAGCAAATTTGCTGTAATCGGGCTCAGTATCTGTAGTGGTTGTAGTAATAGTAACAGTAACACGCACTGAACTTGGAATACGAACCACGCAATACGAATCACGGAACACGAATCAAGAATCAGCTATCACGGACTGGATCACGGAAGCACTGGACCGCAATGGTACTAGCACGCAATATCCCACGTAACTGGGACGCGAGAATAAAGGACTCAGGAGTAGTAGTTCGTTTATTGGAAAATATAATGGGGATTAAATAATTAGTATAAAGTAAGCTCATTAGTTATCCGGGCTTCTACCAATCGCGTTCCAGTATTGCTTGCGTCGTTCTGCTTCTGTTTGGACCGCACGGTCTCTAATTGGCTCGTACGATCTACCTATGGTGTGTAGTTAGAAGCGATGACACGTACGCGCGTTGCTGACGTCAAGTTTGATTGATCGCAGTTGTCCAAAATCTTGATCATTAATATATAGTCAGTAAATAACAGAATCATAGGCGGAGAATGATTGCGGTCAAAGTTACTCACCAAACAATTGTTCTCAAGGTATCGACGGAGTGATAAGCCATTCACGCAGTTTGCGATGGTAATTTCAATGGCTAGTGCCTCGGCGTATTTCAGAACCTTGGTGTTGTTTGTGTTGTAGAGGAATCTGAACGCGTCGCGCAGCATGACACAGTGTTTCATTTCGACCAGGTGTTTTGTGATCGATGAACTGAGTTTCATCGTTCATTTAGTAATGATGGACAACTGTGAGGTTTTTCCTGATGAGCAGCGAAAGGTTGAAACAGAGCAGTCGAACGCCCGCATCAGACACTCAGACTATTCAAGAATTGTGTGAATGGAATGTAATTTGTTCGCCCATTTCCATTTGACACATTTCGGTCGCAATCAAAGGCAAATGGATTCCAGCTGAAATTTTTTCTCAACGAGGTGTTTCTGACTTTTTTATGACACGAAAAGGGTATACCCCATGATCCGAAAATATACTGTAAGTGGGAAGGTATGGGGAACATTCAAGCTAGAACCAGCTCATTGATGCTGCCTTGAAAAACGTG